GTCTGAGGCCAGATTTGAATTCAGGTCCTCCTGACTCCAAGGCTGGAGCTCTATCCACTATGCCACCTAGCTTCCCCCAGAATATTTTTGTTAATGCGTAAATAAAAGTGAGGGTTGTTTCCAAAAGCTATCCCATGCTTCCACATGGGCCCTCCAGCACCCCACTTCTCCTGTTCCCTGCCCTCCTTCCTCTCTTAAAGTCATGACAGTCTGGACTCACTTCACCTCACTCGTGGCCAGAAGGAAGGCCAGGGTTTGCCACCTGTGGGGGTCTCGTGAGGGTTGTCTGTCACAAACAGGAAGCTGTGGGTAGGGGAAAGGGGGGGGGCAGTGTCAGGTTGGGAAATAGCAGCAGAGGTATGAAGCCTCTGTAGGTTGGCCCTTACCCCCTCCAAGCCTTGATGTGCAAATAGTGAAAGGACAAAAAAAAACAACAACCATCACTAGATTTGGAGTAAGGAAACCTGGGTTCTAATCTTGGCTATATTCCTGACTTGCTATGTGACTTTGGGCAAGTTCTTTTCCCCTGGGTCTTAGTTTCTTTTTCTGTAACGGACGTTCTTGATTAACGTAATGACCAACCGTAATTTCAGACAACTGATGAGCGAAGCTTGCTACCCACCTCCTAGCTGGAAGGTGATAGACTCAAGGTGCAGAATGAGTCACATTTTCAGATAAGAATTTCCCAGTATGGGAATTTGTTTTTATTGGGCATATTTGTTACAAGGATTTCATTTTTCTTTTTTTCAGTGGATAGAGGGAGGATGTGAATGGCACAACTAGGGTTGCAAAAAAGAGAAAGGTCATTGAAATATTTTAAAGAATGTACAAGAGAGAACATAAGGAAGGTTAGAAGGGAAAAGACAAGTGTGACAGATTTGAAAGCTATATGATGAATTTATTATGTACTTGAAAGGAAAAGCAAGCTGTACGTAATAGACACTTGCAGTTTTGAATATGATCCTTTTTTTCTAGTCTACTTTGTATATAGAAATACTCATCTTATCAGGCATTAGAAAAGAAAATGAGGGAGTTTGATTAGAACAAGTGTTCTTGAAACATGGTATGGGGACCCCTAGACCTTCTCAGTGGGTCTATGAGGTCAAAACTATTTTCATAGTTATACTAAGATATTTAAATTTCTAATATAGCAAATGTTGGTAGATGTAACCACAGAAACAAAAACTCTTTGTGGTCGTCAGTCATTTTTAAGAGTGTGAAGGGGATCAAAAAGTTTGAGTACCACTGTATTAAATGATTTCTAAAATTCCTTCCAGCTCTAATATTCTGTGTTCTCTGATCCTTTTTTAGCTCTATCATTCTGTTCAATACACTCTATCTCTTGGCTCTGGGCTTCCTCTGGCTGAATCTCATGCCTGGAATGCTCCCCCTCCTCCCCTGGGACTGCTGACCTCCCTGGCTTCCTCTAAGTCACAATTTAAATCCCAGCTTCTACGGGAAGTTTTCCCTAGCTGCTCTTAATTCCAGTGCCTTCCCTCTGTTAATTGTTTCCTATTTATCCTGTGAATAGCATGCTTTGTACATATTTGTTTGCATGTTATCTCCCACCCCCCCACCCCTGGTCAGATTGTAAGCTCCTTCAAGGCAGGGATTGTATTTTGTGTCTTTGTATGGCCCCAGTGCTTAGCTCAGTGCCTGGCACACACAGCAGGTGCTTAATAAGTGCTTATTGATTGATCGATCTTGACCTGAAATTAATTGGGTGAAAAAGGCAGATCATTGGCCTGTCTGGTAGTGGGGAGGAAGTCCTGATCCTGGCAGCTGTATATCCCCAGAGACCTCGTTGCTTCTAAAAGGGGTATTCACTGAGTGTGAATATATTGCCTAACCTACAACATTTTCTGTGTCCTGAGTGTGTCTGGGCTCTGAAGTAAACAGTCCCTCAAGCCATTTGCAGGCATTAAGTGGGAAACGTGAAGGGACCGATAGATAGAGCAGAGGAAGGGAAGCATCCTGTGGGCAGGATGCTTCACTACTGTAATGCCTTGATTATAGTAGGTGCTTGATTAAGCCCTTATTGGATTGATTTGATTTGGATGGAGACACAATTCTACATTTGATAAAAGTTTATGGATTCTCTTAGGCTTCTGTGATTTTTTTGGGGGGGGGTTTATTTCAGTCTGATTTAGGTTAGAGATATTTGATAAACCATACACAGACATATACATAGTCCTCTGTGTTTGTATGAATGCAGGGAAGTGAAAAGGAAGACGGGGTTATTTGGGGAGAAACAGAGCTGCATGCGTCCCGAGGGGACCTGACTGTGGGCGGCCTCCCTTCCTCTCTGGGGCAAGGGGGAAGGTAGGCTGCCTGTGACAATGCGACCGTGGTTTTGGTTCAGCAACTCCCACCAGCCCCTGCTTGCCCCAGCATCCACTTTGCCGATCTGGACGCCCAGCGGAGTTATAACCCAACTCGCCATGCAGCAGCCCCCTTTCTTCCTCCTCTTCTTCCTCTTCGTCTTTCTCTTTCTTACCCCACAGGGTGCTGAGCCCCAAGACCCACTGAGTGTGGAAGTTGAAGGTAGGAACAAGCAGAGATGTGGGGCTCTCTTCTCAGCTTAGCCACTAACCTATTGGGCGACCTTGGATGGTTTATCTCTCTCTGGGCTTCGTTTCTTCCTCTAAAATGAGATCGGAGATCAGACAAGATGACCTGCAGAAGGACCTTTCCAACTCTAGATTCAGCGTCTTATTGGGGAGGAACCAAAGTGTCTCCTGGGCTAAGGGTAGGTAGGGGTTGGGTTAATCATGGGGAGAAGAGGAAGTAGAGATGATAAAGAAAAATAATTCACATTTTAATTTTAATGTTTTTGAGCCATTTCTTCATGACAGCCTTGGGAAGTAGCGTAGTGCAAGTATTTCTATTCCTCTTAGACAGATGAGGAAACTGAGGCTCGGAAAAATGAGGGAACAGGGCTGATGGTCCCATAGCTAGTGAGAGTTAGCGCTTGTTCTTAGGTCCTGGATTCATGCCACCTCTTCCTCACCCTTTCTCCCCAACTGTCTTCTCTCTCTCCACAGAGGGGAAGGATGCAGTGCTGCCATGCCTGATTGGCCCCAGGGATGGACCTTTTGAGCCCATCAGCTGGTCTGGAGGAGGGCAGCTGTCCCTTTTGCAGCAACTAACCCTGAAAGGCCCAGGGTTGGGGGCCCAAGTGAGGCCCTCGAACATCTCCCTCTTCATCTATAACGTCTCAGCCGAGTCTGGGGGCTTCTACCTCTGTGAATGGGGAACACTCAAAAAGCAACAATCGAAGGCGGGGGCTGCTATCAGTGTCAAGGGCAGTGGTGAGGGGCCAGACTGGGGGGATCAATGAGGGGGTGGAAGTGAGGGGAACCTGAAGCTCTGGGCTCAGTAGAGAGGAGAGGTAGTTGGGGAAGGGAATGGCTGTGAGCCTCAGTTTCTCATTCTGCTGAGAAATAATATGTATGGTATCATTGAAGGAACGTTAGAATTGGGGTAAAAAGATGAGTTTGAATCCAGATTCAGCCACTTCCTCCTTGTGTGATTGTGAGGAAGTCATATTTTCCCTTTTTGGGTCTCAGTTCCTTCATCTATAAAATGAGGGTTCGGACTGGATGATTGATTAGGTCTTTGTGAGTTCTGAATGTCGTGATCCGCGGATTGGCCTGTTGTTAGGGGGCCTGAGGGAAGAGAGATTGTGAAGTATCTGGAGGGTATCGGTGGGCAGGATGATGGAAAACTGGAGGATTCAGAGCGAGGAGACCATTAGAGGTATTAAAACTGGGTCTGAGGGAGAGGCTTTGGGATACAGAAAAAAAGGCTGAGAGCTATCAGCAGAGGGGAGTGGATGTCCTTGGGCCCAGCTCCCAGTCATCCTTGACCTTCTTCCTCTGTCTCCATCTCTCTCCGTCCCTGGGTTGCAGGTGAACTGTTCCAGTGGAATGCTACAGGCCCAGAGGGCTGTGGGGTCAGCTTTCCAAGATTCAGGTTCCACACTTATCCCTTCACTCAACTATACGTATGGGCTAAGGACAAACCTGAGCTGTGGGATCCCTTCATTCCATGTGTTGAACAGAACCAAACAGAGGGTAAGTAGGGGGTTATGGGAGGGGGAGGCAGGGAGAAGTTTAAGCAGGTGTGGTCTAGGTCAAGGACATTGGGTGGAGGGTATCTAGGTAGCAAAGTGGATGGAACTCTGGGCCTGGATTCAGGAAGACCTGAGTTCAAATCTAGTCACAGACACTTTACTAGCTGTGTGACCTTGGGTAAGTGACTTCATCTCTGTTTACCTCAGTTTCCTCAACTGTAAAGTGGAGATAATAATAGCGCCTGCCCCGAAGGTTGTTGTGAGGAGCAAATGAGATACTATTTGTAAAGTGCTTAGTACAGCTAGTGTCTGGCACATAGATGCTCTATAAATGCTACTTATTATTATTAATTATTAAACAGCAGGAGCTGCCTCCTTTCTCCTAGAGTTCAGCCTAGACTGTCTCCTACACTTAGAATACTCCCCAATACAGAGGCAGTGGAGACTCAGAAAGACATGAGTTGGACTCTAGCCTCAGGCACTTATTGGCTGTGTGATGCTGGGCAAGTAATTTCACCTCCATTTTACATGGTTACCTCATCTGTAAAATGGGGATAATAATAGCATCCACCTCCCAGGGTTACTGTAAGGATTAAATAACATAATATTTGTAAAGCACTTAGCATAGTGCCTGGCACACAGCAGGCACTTAATAAGTGCTTGTTTCCTTCATGTCTACACATGTTGACATCACACTGATCCTTCCAAAGCTTTCCAAGCCTTCCTTGGTTCCTAGATCTCTCACTCATCTCACCTGTATCCAAGCTTTGAAGGGCTGTCTGAGGGAAGAGAAGCTTGTCCTGTTCCTTGGGGAGAGGGCAGACCTCAGAGCAGAGTGGAAGCTTCAGGGAGGCAAATTTAGGCTTTGATGTCATGAAAGATTTCTTTAACAATTAGAGCCACTCCAGGTATGGAAGGGGTTACCAGAGGAAGTAGGGGAATCTTCTTCACTGGAAGTCTTCAATTAGATGCTGAATCACTACTTTTGGGTATGTTTTAGTGGTGTTTTCTTTTTTGAGGATGAATTGAACCCAACAGCCGGCTAACTTTTCTGTGATCCTGCAAAATCATAGCACTTTGTATGAAGTTTCCTATGTTTTAATTTGTCCCCAGGCTTTTCAGGATGCACTTGCTTCACAGTAATCCTGTAAGGTCGGAAGTGCAGGGGTTTGTATTCCCATTTTACACACTTGGAAACTGAGACTCAGAGAATTCATGTGACTTGCCATGGTCACACAGTTACTAATAAAATCAGAGCCAGAATTCAAACCTAGGTCCCCAGATTCCAAGTCCAATGTGTTGTCCAGGCTGCTCCCTGACTTCTTACCTCTTTGCCCTATCATATCTGAACTATTTTGGGTTTTAGTAAGAATTTTTATTTACAAATATGGAATACATCCATATTTTAAAAAACCCACTATTTCATCGGTGGGTGGGAGGCGCTTTCTCCACCAAAGCTGTGGCAGAAGGAAAGGTGATAGTGCAAAGAACATGGAATTTACAAGAGAACAGGGTTCAAATTCCAGCTTGGATAAATCTCTTCAATCCCCTCTATGCCTATGAGGGTTGTTTTCTCTTCTGGAAAATGAAAGGGTTGGAGTAGACTATGTGTTGTTAACCAGGAGGTCTGTGAGCTTGTTTTTTAAATATTTGGATCGCTATAATCCAGCATAATTGTTTTCCTGTATAATCCTCTGTATTTGATTGTATGCATTTAAAAACATGATTCTGAGAAAGGGTCCAGAGGTGTTACTTAACTGTCAAAGTGGTCCAAGGCACAAAAAAACCAGTTAAGAGCCCCTGGATTAGACGATGTCTAAAGTTTCTTCCAGCTCTAACATTTTATGATTTTATGAGTGGGTGTCACCAAAACAACTCATCACCTGTTCCCAGATCTTGCTGTGAGAAGCCAGTTTTCAGGGAGCTAGGCTGGATCTTGGGATGGCAAACACAAAGTCTGTGGCTGGGCCTGTTCTCCAAGCCTTTCCAGCTTGGCAGGACCTCACAGGTTTGGCACCCCATTATTAGCATGGCTTCCAAGAATCCAGGGCCATCTCTACATCAGGCTTCCAAGGAGGACTTCAGTGGTGGTTGCAAAAGAAAAAATATAAATTCACAATGCTGTTATAGAAAGAGCACTGAATTTGGAATTGAGGAGCCTGGGGTGTGAATCCTGGCTTGACATTTATTAGTTTTATGACCATAAGCGAGTCATTAATTCGCTCTGAACCTTAGTTTCTTCATCTCTCAGATGGGGATCATAATACTTAGACTTCCTACCTTGCAGGTGTGTTATGGGGAAAATGCTTTGTAAACCTTTAAGTGCCATAGATGTATGAGCTTTTATTAAATAAAAGAGGAGGGTGAAGGCGATTGAAAGCATAGATAAAAGAAAGCAGCTTAGTGCAGACTGGAGGATACCAAATCTAGGGAAAATTCCCCAGGGCCTTCCTGGGTTCTATGATTCTCTAGGCTTGGAGGTCATTCCTAGGGTTACTGCCATCTTGACCTCTTATGAGAATGGTACCTTTTGGTCCCATAACACTCTTTCATCACCTCTTCCTACAACTTGCTCCATCTCCATTGTGAATGGCCAATCTGAGCCCTATGGACCAACGGTCTCCAGAGATAGGGCCTTGTACCCCTGGGGGCCCATGGCATGACCTTAAGGGATCCAAGCTGTTGAAGATGGGTGACAGGTCTTACCATGTCAGTTCTCCTACGCAGTAAATTCCAATGGCTTTCTATTGACTTTAGGATCAAACATTATTTCACTTTTACCTCATCTTTTTTCAATATCTATTTTTGTGTAAGTTTTACAATATATAAGTATTAATGCAGTAACACATATATATATATAATTTATAAATAAGTAAATATAGCTCTATTGGGGGTGCATGCTCAAAATTTTTTGATAGGCTATTCACTGCATGAGAATAAGTAAGTTCCCTGATTCTACAGTAAAAAAGTTTGCTCAGCCCGTCAGGAATCCTTTCCATTGGCTTGGGGATGGAGGTTTTGTGGTCTTTTCACATTCATGGAGTCATAGATTTAGGTCTGGAAGGGACCTTAAAGGCCATCTTAAACAACCTTTTCATTTTTACAGTTGTGGAAACTGAGGCCTGGAGTGGTTGAGTGACTTGCCCAAGGTCTCACACAAGCTATAGTAGAAGGTAATTCAGTGAGCATTTCAATGCAGTTCTGACTCCAAATCAATGCTCTTTCCATTTCACTGTGCTACTTGGAAAGAATCTTAGGGTTCATCTAGTCCAGCAGTTCTCAGGACCCTTTGGTCTCAGGACCCTTGTACAGTCTTAAAAATTATTGGGGAACCCCCCCAAAAAGAGGTTTTGTTTACTTGGGTTATAGTGGTTGATATTTACCATGTTTAGAAAGTAAAGCATCTTAGTATTATTATGAAAATAGTTTTGACCTTGCAGACTCCCTGAAAGAGTATTGAGGACCCCCAAGGGCTGCTGGACTATACCTTAGGAACCCCTGGTCTAGTCTAAACCCCCTCATTTTTACCAGTTTATAAGAAACCTTCATATCACCCCTGTCTTGGTCCAGAGAGAGAGTGGAGAAAAAAAGACTTTACAAAATATATTATTATTACAGTTATGCTTCATTACCCAGAAAAAGAATAAAATTCAGCACGCCAAGTTCACAAAAATTCCTTTTATTTCTATCCCTCCACTATACTCTAAGCCCTATGAGGGCAAAGCCTTTTCTTATTTATCTTTGTCTCCTCCAGTGCCAGGTACAATGGTGTGTGTATGTGTATGTGTGTGTGTGCGTGTATTATATATGTATGTATGTATATATATATATATATATATGTATGGTACTTTACTGGATTGTTGTGGAATTAGTAAATGTTTATGGAATGAGAATGTTTGGAGTTAGGGAGTTGATAGCCCCACTGTCCTCTGTCCTGGTTAGACTGTATCTGGTATATTCAGGTGCTATGTTTTAGGGAGGACATTGATAAGCTGAAGAGTGTCTAGAGGAAGGTGACCAAATTGGTGAAGAGTGTGGACATCACGCCATAAGAGCGTAATGTGAAGGAGCTAGAGATACTTAGCCTGGAGAAGAGAAGACTTAGGGGAAGACGTGATGGCCATCTTCAAGTATTTGAAGGTCTGTCCTGTAAAAAAATGATTACACTTTGTTCTTCTTATCCACTGAGGGGAGAAATTAGGACAGTTCTTCAGTCATGTCTCATTTGGGGTTTCTGTGGCAAAGATACTGGAGTGGTTTGTCATTTCCTTCTCCAGCTCATTTTACAGATGAGGAAACTGAGGCAAGTAGGGTTAAGTGACTTGCCCAGGGTCACACAGCTAGTGTCTGGTTCTTTTGGATTTGAACTCAGGTCTTTTTGGTTGCAGGACTGGCGCTCTATCCATTGTACCACCTAGCTGTCCCAAAAGATAGTGGAGTGATTTGCCATTTCTTCCTCTAGCTCATGAACTAGGAGTAGTGGGTGTGAACTAGGAGTAATGGGTGAGAGTATACTGAATATAGTAATGCTCAATACTCAATAGAGTAGTAGTAAGAAAAACCACCCAACAATCATTGCTGTCCAAGAGTGGAACAGGCTGGTTTGGAAGGTGTTGGGTTCCTCCTTACTTGAGCTTTTGGTTGTTGACGTTGATAATCTACAAATAATTTAATCTGGTTTGGGAATGTGTTATTGCTTATTTGTTTTATTGATTAATTTTTTAAAATTTTTATCTCATTTTTGTTGCTATATTTTATTTTTATAACACTTTCATTTCTTGTAACAGATTAGAAAAAAAGAAAGCAGGGGGCAGGGAGATGCGGGACAGTTTATCAAAACCAGTGAACACGTCAGTCATGCCTAGTAACATTTGTAATATTCCATATGCATATTCCCCTCCCTCTCTGTAAGTTGGGGAGGAAATGTGTTCTATGAATTCTTCTCTAAGGTCATGATCAGTCATTATAATTATATGACAATATTTCCTTTTTGTGTGTGTG